ACCCCCCCACACACCCACACACACACACACACACACACACACACAAACACCACAAAATGGTGAAGGGGCCCAAAGACTTTTTTGTGTCTTGTATGTTTTCTTCTCAAATGCATACCTCAGACACACAGACTCACTGGGAAAAATCTGGAGTGTTTTAACGTGACAGATCATCTCTACAGCATCCCGTCCAGGTTCTTCTCGGCCGTCTCCTTGTCGCTGTCGGCAGTGGTCTCCTTGGGGCTGTAGGTGTTGTGATAGTCCTGCAGGATTGTTACGACATCGTGATGGCCGAAATGAATGGCCTCGTCCATGGGAGTGTTACCCCACCTGTATGGGGATCAAACGGCAAGTTTAAAGGAACAGCATCTGTTGTGTGCTGTTGATTATCATTTTAAGTCATTTCTTTGTGTAAAAAATAAAAAAAATAACTTAAATGGAAGACAATGGGGTGAGTGTACACAACAACCATTAAAAATATACGATTCATAACATTAAATTAAGCTTCATAGATCAACTAAAATGTTGTGGCAATTACATTTTTTTTAACTTGTAAACAACAAACAATAAATGCTTTAAAAAATGAATTATTCATTTATGATACGTAACTAATAAATATTTAAACTTATAAAACTTGTTCTGACAACATACTGTAAAGTGTTGCTATAATTTAATTTAAAAAAGATAAAAAACTGTTATAGTCTAATAATTGTTAAAAATAAAAGTAACATCCAAAATAGTATACAATCCACATTAATATTTTTCTATCTGTAATTTTTATAAATATTATTATTGAATTAATTAAATCAATGTTTATTTAATGTTAAATCTATTATTTGTTACACAAGACTTATTCCTAAAATAAATTAATTAACTAACAGTAAACAATATTTTCTCAGCATTTATTAATCTTGTTTTTTTGTTTATTTAAATTTACGCTAATAAATTATAAATCGATATTAACATTAACCTAGAGTAATCAATGCTGTTGATTGTTAATTATTAGTTTATGATACCTACCTAATAAACGTAATGTTAACAACTTCTGAAATTTAATTCATAAACTATTTTTTAAAGAAAAAATAATTTAAATTAAATAATAAATAAACTAAATTGATAAAACTAATAAAACGTAAGCGTTAATTAAACAAAATTAAATTAATTAATAATAATTATTAATTGCAATAATAAATAATAATTAACTGCAACCATCGTGATAATTAAAAAAAACATCCACAATGTTACAGTATCCATTTTCATTTCTATAAACAATTTTATTTTATATTATGGCTAATAAATTTATGGATATTTAAGCACAATGAATTGACACATAAATGCTTTCAAATGTATGAAAATATATTTAAAATAGCTAACAATAAACAAATCAAGATGGTCTTAGAGACAATTTCTTGAATACAGCTTTATTACATTGCTGATTTTGTAACCCACTTTTCACATATAGGTGGTTTTAACAGTTATGCCACAAAACAAGATTTTTGTTGCAGTATTTCCTATTCTTACCTGTCTTTGGGCACCGGGTTCACCTTACAAGCTTCTAGAAGAAAACGTACAACCTCAGTGTGACCTGAAACAAAAAAAACAAAACAAAAGTGCATATTAGCAAGATTTCCACTCAGCACAGAGAGAAAATGAGGTCAGGCAGAGGAAACAAACAGCAAGTCAGCAAGTCTGAGGGTTGAAGAGCGTGATAATATCTATATATATATATTGTGCAAACAAATAAAATTAAACATTGTGGATGCAGAATTTATAAAGTTACACAAATTTTGCCTGTTTCTTTCAAACAGATTTACATATTTTTCTTCACTTTAACTCCAGTACTGACTGAAATAAGTTAACAGAACATGCAAACATTCTACAAACATTTAGACATCACATTAGGTAAAAGGGGGGTCAATGAAAAATAATAATTGAATTATGTACAAATAAAATAAAATTAACTTTAAAGACCAGGGCCCGTATTCACAAAACATTTCATCTTACCATTAAGAGTTCTCCTAAATAGCAGTAAAGGTTTTTAGCTTAAAACCTATTCACAAAGCTGCAAGCAAGTCTGAGGGTTGAAGAGCGTGATAATATCTATAGTTGCAGAGTTTGATGAGTTCCTGGCACTCCACCTTCAGCAGCAGCTACATGAAGGGCCGTCCGAGAGTCATAATCTCTCTGCTCCATATCCATCGACGAGAGCGCAAACCTACGCAAAGCGCAAACACACGTGAAGTAAGAAACTCAAGATTTAAACTGCACAAATTGTGTTCAGAAATGCAAAAAACATGATTTATTGGTGGAGCGGTACCTTCTCAGAGCAGACACGTCTCCAGTGTAGGCCGCAAACAGCAGGTTGATAACCGACTTGACCTGGAAGAAAACAGAGGAGTCGTTTGTGGTGCATTAACGACATCACGATGACATCATATTGTTGCGAACTTTGCACAAATCGCGAGAAGATCCCAAAGCCTGTTGGGTCGCATTTGGGCTCTGCAAAAAATGACAACTTGTAAAACAAAAGGACAGTTAAACAAAACTAACACATACTTAAACGACAGTTACAATGTTTTCAAAACTGGGATAAATAAACAAAATGCACACTACGTTAAATTAAATTTGTGTTTATCAATCATTTATTAAACCACAATGAGAAAATAAATAAGAACAAAGTCTACCCAGTTTAAAGAAGATAATCTTATTGGCACAAACAAATGGTTTTTAATTTTATTTCACATTGTCACATTTAATAAAGTCAATGATAATACTGGAAAAAAAAATAAAACATCAAGTTCAAGTAGTCAGTTTAAATGATAGCAAGTTTAAAACATTTCTCAATGGAAAGTAACATATAATTCAGTAATCTTTAAGCACATTCCTGGATTTCAAGAGGCAGTTTCAGAAATGATAAATGATTCTTTAAACTGATAGTACAATGAAAAACCTACAGTAAATATTTAATTCAAGTGAAAACTGGGTTACAGATGAAGCTGATTTGAGCACAAGATGAAATGTGGATTGTGAAACTCCTAGCCACACAATCTTTCCTACCTGATCACAGTCGATCAGTTCCGCTCTGGTTAGCGTTAATCACTTGTTTGGTTTGTAATACAATGTCTAAATTCCTTCCTTTTATGATTTATTATGTACAAATAAAATAAAATTAACTTTAAAGACCAGGGCCCGTATTCACAAAACATTTCATCTTACCATTAAGAGTTCTCCTAAATAGCAGTAAAGGTTTTTAGCTTAAAACCTATTCACAAAGCTGCAGAGACAAACTTTTACTAAGGAATAGACAGAAGTCTTAAGCTAAGAGTAAGGGGGCGGGGTTGACCTCATTGCTATGGATGATGTCAGCATGCTTACTAACTATGCACACAGTGATTGGCTGATAGTCTCTGTCAGAGATTTATTCTTAGAAATACTGTAGAGCGTGATATTACGTTGCCACATTCAAATGTCACTAATTAAACAAATATATGTTCAGCTAATTGTCAGCCTCTTACATGTGTGCTTCTCGTAAACAATTAGCGGATCTGCATATAAATGTTCTTTTAATTAGCAGAGTAGAATGATCATGGCTGATAGTAAGACATGCAAACATAAAAGAAAACCAAACTGGATGCAAGAACAGCTGTTAATTCTTGCCCAACATGTTAATGAAAATAAGGATATTATCAAAGGAAAATTTGGAGTTGGGATAACCTTCAAATACAAAAAAAATATGTGTGGGAAACATGTGCAAATAAATGCAGTGTGTTTCTAAAATGTTTATGTTCCGAGGCAGATTGCCGGCAACAGCAATTTTATCCCTGCTGAAAAAAACTATACAAACCATCACAGAATGTGTAATGGTTTTACTAGTTATAATGGGAATTGTATTGGTTTTACTGGAAACTGTAATGGTGCCTGTTGGTCTCTACTGGTAATTGGTAGCCTTCTATTGTTGGCTTGTTAAAACCACTAAATCCTAATAGAATATGTCCCAAAACACACTACAGGAGACATTTTTTAATGGTTTTAATGGTTAAAAGTTGATGGTTTGTAATGTTTGTGATGGTATTTGTAGTGGAAACCATTAGAATTTCTGTGATGGTTTGAATTGTTTTTTTTTCAGCAGGGAGGATAGTTTGTGATTTGGTTTTAGTGACTAAGGAGTCCTCTTCACTACTCCTAACGTTTCACAGATTTAGGAGTTAGTTTTAGCGCTAAAACACTTTTTGAAATACTCTTAAAGCTAACATTTAAGAGTCCTAAATTTAGGACCGACACGCCCATTATTTTTAAGATTTTCTCCTAAATCTTAAATAGCCTTAAGATGTTTTGTGAATACGGGCCCAAAAGGTATTTGATGGTTATGCGTCAGTTTTCTTTTTTAGAACTCTGTACGGTTTAAAGGCATGTTATTTTTGTGGAGCTAGCAGCAACAAACAAAAATGACAAAAGTACTTATTGTTTCCTGAACCTTTAAGAAGTCATCAAGATCAAAACTCAATGCTGCTGTGTCTGGCTGGTTCAGAAGTTTAGCCTATAAATAATGTACTTATTTTCTCATAGGCCATATATCTTTTCACATTAATCTAGTATAGGAGAAAGTATTTTAACGGTGGGGGAAAACAGTAAATATATGACCGTCTTATAGTGATTTTTTTACAGTTTTTAATAAAAATACAATAAACAAAGAATCACAATATTACTGCATCATTACCCAGATACTGATATCATATTGCATTGTTTGGGCTTTCCTGATTCCTTTAATTTTAAAGTAAACAAATTGCACGTGAGGTTTAAAGGTCTTTGGCTTGCTTTATAGTATAAAAACCAACAAAACCTACACAAGGGAACACTGGGGAAAACCTACACTGGGGAAGTCGTGGCCTAATGGTTAGAGAGTCGGACTCGTAACCCAAAGGTTGCGGGTTCGAGTCTCGTACCGGCAGGGATTGTAGGTGGGGGGAGTGAATGTACAGCGCTCTCTCCCACTTTCAATACCACGACTGAGGTGTCCTTGAGCAAGGCACCGAACCCCCAACTGCTCCCCGGGAGCCGCAGCATAAATGGCTGCCCACTGCTCCGGGTGTGTGTTCACGGTGTGTGTGTGTTCACTGCTGTGTGTGCACTTTGGATGGGTTAAATGCAGAGCACTAATTCCAAGTATGGGACACCATCACTTGGCCACATGTCACGTCACTTTCACTGTCACTTTCACTTTCACAAACAAAACAAAAAACAAAACAAACAAAGAACCAACAAAACCAAACCAAATCTAAAATGACAAAACAAAACCAACTACAACAAAATGAAAAAAAAAACCAAAAAAAAAAACAACTAAAACTAACAAAACAAAAAAACCAAACCAACTAAAACAAAACAAAAAAAACAAACCAAGACCAACTAAAACAAAAAGAAACAAAAAGCACAAAACCAAAACCAACTAAAACGAAAACAAACAAAACAAAACCAACTAAAATGAAAACAAACAAAACACAAAACCAAAACCAACTAAAACAAGTCAAAAAACAAAACACAAAACCAAACCAAAAACAACTAAAACAAAAAACAGTTCTAAAAACAAAACATAACAACCTCTTTAATCCCAAAGACTGATTAACTAAAGAAAGTGACTGCATGATGGGCTGACAAAACATGGAAGGAAGGTTGGGTTGCGCCGTCGTCTCTTCTAGTTTCTTTCCGCCACGCTTTCCATCCTATAGACTACAGTGGTGGAACTGTCCTCGTCTGTTTCGGCAGGACAGACTTTTTTCCACAATTTGTCAGTGAGCGCTAGTTCCTTCTGAAGGCTCGTGTAGTCCAGCGGTTCGAGATTCTGCTGCTGCTGCGGTTCAACCAATACGGACATGGATAGATTATCAGATATATGATCATGGAATTTCCTGCTTGGATTAGTATGGATGGCAGAAAAAGAAGAAAACAAGGAAACGGTGGAAATTTAAGCAAGCCAGTCAATCAGAACAGCGCATCTCAGGAGTTATTTTCAAGTGAAGAAGTATAACGGACATACTTAGGCTGTATATTAGCAGGTGTAAGTAAGACGAGCAGTAAAATATTTTGCATCCTAAATTAAGGCACATGGATAGTAGAGGAGTTTAAAAGAAGAGAGTACGCTGGTCCTCCAGCAGAGGGCAGACAATAGAGAGGAAAAGAAATATGCAATTGCTAAAAGAAATGAAATGTTCAATAATACAGATTAAGATTGCAGGTCAGTTAGCATAATTTGGTTTGTCAGTTCGCATTCATTAATACATATGCACACACTCATAATATGTCAAGATTATTAGCATTAGTTGCATCTAGAGGTGGGATATACAGTGGCCCCAAAAAGTGAACGGACATTTAAATCATGCTAAATGAAAGAATTAATTGCATTAGATTTAAAAAACAAAAACAAAAAAACAATATCAAACAGAAACAAACCAAGTGGTATCTGCAAACTAACATAAGTTTTCTGAGCTATTTTGCAATGACAAAAGTGTTTTTGTGGGTTTTTTAGAAATGCCTTATGAAATAATATATAATAAAATCATTAAATGTCATGATATCATGCTATGTTATTGTACACTATCATATATATTAATAATTAAAAAAATTAATTATATATAATATATATATATATAAATTTTTTTTTTACAACCACTATTTTATCTGCTCTGATACATTCTGATAACTTTTTAGGTGTATAAAACTAAAGCAAAAGGTCAATTACATATTGACGATGACATACATTTTTTTTTACCAAACATCTTATTGTCCCTATGAATGTACAGTTAATATTTATTTTGTACAACAATATTTGGAAATTTACGCCGGGTTATTGCCCACCCCAGTTGCATCAGCTGCATGCTGTTTGTGGTTGGACGGACAGATCTGACACTCACCCGCTGGTCTCCGCCCTCTCGGCGTGGATCCAGTTTCTTGGCAAAGTGGCGTAAATTATCATAGTTGTGGAAATTACAGAGCTGGACCAGATCCTAAAAGAAAAAAAACTTAAATCAATGCGAACGAGAGAGATACGATTGTAACAGATTATTAGCTGAGATTATATAGATTTAGTACCGTGCAAAACTGGATTCCTCGCACGCTGTTGCCCAGTTTGTCAAGAGGAGGAGACCAACACATAATGCCCATCACATTGGGCACCACCAGCAGGATGCCTCCGGAAACACCTGATTTAGCCGGAAGACCCACCTACAATACAATGCACAATCTGAGTTTGTTGCAGATTGTGAAAATGGTTGTCGTACATTTGAAAGTAAAACCATCAGACATTTCCCCAGGTGTGTACGTGTGAAACTCACATGAAAAGCGAACTGCCCAGAAAAGTCGTACATGCCGCAGGAGTGCATGAGACTCAGAGTGTTTTGTACAGCCTCGGGGTTCAGCACACGCTCGCCCGTGATTGGACAGAAGCCGCCGTTCGCCAGGGTGGCAGCCATCACACTGGCACTTTCGCAGGTTACCTCAATGGAGCACAGCTAAACAAACAAAACAAAAACATATTTGATCATATATTACTCATATATAAATAAATATTAATTATTGAAGGAATAACTGATCCAAAAATGAAAATATGCATAAAATGTATTCACCCTCAGGCCACCTGTGATGCAGATCTTGAATCACTTGCTCACCAATGGATCCTCTGCAGTGAATGGGTGCTGTCAGAATGAGAGCCCAAACAGCTGATAAAAACATCACAGTAATCCACACCACTTCAGTTCATCAATTAAAATCTTTTGAAGTTAAAAGTTGCATGTTTGTAACAAACCAATCCATCATTAAGACGTTTTTATCTTCAAACCATTGCTTCCAGCTAAACTACCAGTGCATAAAATACCAGTGCTTCCTCCAGTGAAAAAGTCCATCCCCTGGTGTCCTCTCACATCAAAACCCACCAACATAATTGTTTACAATGGTTTAGAACTGTTTTGGCCTGTAAACAGTGCTTGATCTTTGCATATTTCTCTCCTGATTTAGAAGAAACAACTTTTTGTTGATGCTACCTCAACTCTACAGGACTGCTTTCAGTGCACAGACTGGAACATGTTTAAAGAGGCAGCCACCTACAACAACCACACAGACCTGCAGGAGTACACTGAAACTGTGAGTGCTTACATCAAAAATATATATATATATATATATATATATATATATAGTATATTTATAATCAAAATCAGTCAGTAGGTTAGTTGTGTATAGGTTTTTACTGCTTTACTGTATAGGTTTTTACTGTTTTACTTCATTGTTGTATGCCTGTATTTATGTAACACCGTGGTCCTGTGAGGCACGACATTTCGTTCCACTGTATGTCCCCACATGCAGCAGAATGACAATAAAGCTCAACTTGAACTTGAACTTGAACTTTTTCACTGGAGAAATAAATATTATGGATAGAGGACTCATATTTTAGATGGAAGCAATGGTTTGAAGTTAAAAACGTCTTAATGATGGATTAGTTTCTTACAAACACGCAACTTTATACTTCAAAAGATGTTAATTGATGGACTGGAGTGGTGTGGATCACTTTGTGTGATGTTTTTATCAGCTGTTTGGACTCTCATTCTGATGGCACCCATTCACTGCAGAGGATCCATTGATGAGCAAGTCTTGTAATGCTGCATTTCTCCAAATCTTGTTGATAAAATTTGTAATAATATTTCTTAATTGTTGGAAGCCTACGTCTACTGGCAGCTATTCACATATTCAACACTCATTTCCAAACTGACAAACTGTGTACGAAAAATGCTGTTTAACTTATACTAACCTGGAAGTAAAGGTCCAGGATGGAGATCATATCTGTACCCGCTGGGAAGCACTGCAAGTATGGGGAGAATTTTTTTTTTTTACAAAATAATGTTTTTAGTGAATTTTCAATGATACCTAATTGCTATAAAATGTTAAACATATACCTTCTTTTCCTTCAAGTAGTAACCAATGGCAAAGTTTCTGTCACCTGACAGCCGCTCTGACTGAAACCTACCAACAACAAGAAAGTACTTGCAGCATGAACTTTAACTCAATTTTCTTACATTTTCACAAATATATTGCTGGTAAATTTCATAAACAATTATAAAGAAATGGTAAGTAACACACTGAATTAAATGTGATTTTTTTTTGACATACTCCAATAATCTTTGTTTAATTCACAACTTTTTAGTTGATTGTGTTTTAATATTGATAGTTTTATTTAACATTTGATTACTTTTATATTTTCAATTTTGAAATGTTTAGTTGAATACTTAACACTACTGTTAGATATTTGTACTTTCATTTGTTCTATTTTTTACAGTGTTTCAGTTGTTTATTATTGACCGTTTAATTAATTGAGAAATATCTGAAATTTCACTTCTATTGGCCTCACTTACGTAGCATTGCTGAAACCAACATATTCATTTCCTGCCAGCTTCTTCATAAAGTTCATCACCTAAACCAAAACACGAATATTAAATGCCGCAGCTCTCAACATGATTAACAGCAAGAATCTAAAAAGAATTACACTGTACTATTATACTTACATAGTCAAACTTCTCAGCGTTGCCTACACCTTGCTGAAAGTCAAAAACAAACTGCATGAATGCGGTATATCATAGAAATTAAATGTTTTGTAGAGTTACACACAAACTTCTCAATGCATAGCCATTCCAGTTAAAGGAAACTACCAAAATATTTATTCATAGACATTATAGATAGAGGTTCTATAAATTAGACTGACAGTTGTAGTACATTTCAAATGAAGAATGGAAAAAAAGGAGTCTAGCTCACTAGATTTGAGTAGCATCATTGAAAGAAATAAAGGCAAACAGTGTTTGTGTCCAAGTAAGTACTATTATTGCTGTGGAATCACAAATGTAAGTTGTTAAAGGGGTGTGGAAAAATCAGACAAAACTAAAAGATTAAAAAACAATAAATTGTCAAGTAATTTGCACTGTGTCTTGTCTATAAGTTAGTTTTAGTAGATCATGTAATGCATTGATTTGAGGCTCTTAAGTTTTTTTCCACATTGAAGAAATATTTATTTACGCAAACAAAAAAAGTATTGTATCTTACTAAACACGTGAATTTTTCAGTTAAAAGGTACAAAACAAAAATCAAAACACAAATAAAGCTTGATTTGGAAGAAATGAAACAGAATTACATTCGATTTTCTGTCAAAGCGATGGATTTGTCAGACTTGCGCTAATGTAGCTTAGCATTAGCTTGGTTTGAAATTTGTTCAATGAGGAAAAACAAATAAATGAAAGGGAAATTACCAACGTCTTTGACCTGTTGGAGGGTCAAAATTTTCCCACAGTTCCTAATGCTGTAAAATACGCAACAACAATAAAACCACAAAAAGCCTTCACACAGACATCACACATTACCACCCCGACAGGCCTGAGAAAGATGCGTATCATGCAGAGGATTTACCTTTAACGCCACAAACTGTCATCACAAATTCGTAAATTACGAAAAAAGTTATAAATACATGTTTGTAATATCGTTCATAATAGTGTTAACAGGTAAACAAAGCCCTGCATTTCTAATAGCAAGTACAGATTGTGGCTTTATTTCAAAAAGACGATATTATGCAATTCTGTCTGCTCTCTGAAGAATAAAAACATTTTCAATGTCTTACTCTCATCTCTCCCAATTTATTTCTCAAGTGTTTATTATTCTATCACACTGCCCTTTTAAATTCCTGACCATCATTTGTTCTCTCTCACATCTGTTTGCTCTTTTCCCCTCATCTTTCCCCATCTCTCTCTTCAATATAATCCTTTCAGCATGATTATTCATAACCTTAATCTGATGAGAGAGGTAAAGTAATCCGATTAAATCCATTCGTCCCTCTGATCCGTTCTCACGTCAAACATCCACAAACACATCAAGATAAACATTCGGCAAGTTTTAGGTTATCAAATTAGGAAAAATACAGGAATTCTCTTGCGGAAGCACAGCTAACGCAGTTTTGGGCCCCCCATTTTATTAAACAAGAAAAAAGATATAAAGATGAGAATGCGATTTACCTTGAGGAGGGAGGTGCAAACTATGGCACCAGCGTTTACCATGGGATTGTGAGGTTTATCTGGAAAAATAGATTAATTAATTAATAAATGAAGATGACTTAGAGTGAATGAAGCTTATTTTTGGGAACATTAAATAAATTTAAAGGCGGGGCATAGAGGAGAAACAATAATGTACAGTATGTGGAAAATAATGTGTTTTTTTAACCTCAAACCGCATAAACACATTTCATTACACCAAATACACAAAATAATGTTCTTTTTAGCAACATCATATGACCCCTTTAAATCACTTGCTCAGCATTGGACCCATTGCAGTGAATGGGTGCCGTCACAATAATCCACACCACTCCAGTCCATCAGTTAACATCTTGTGAAGCCAAAAGCTGCTTGTAAGAAACAAGTTCATCACAGTTAAACGTTTTTTTTAACTTCAACCTTTGCTTTTGGCTAAAATATGAGTCCTTTGTTAATAATATAGCTTTGTTTCCAGTGAAAAAGTCATCTAGTCTGAATCATGAGAGAAATATGCACAAATCAACAGTCCAAAAAAAAAAAAACGTCCAAAACAGTTCTAAACAAACATGTCAGTGGATTTTGATGTGAGAGGACAACAGGATATGGAGTTTTTCGCTGGAGGGAAGCATTATTATGGACTCATATTTTGTCCTGATGTGACAGTTTAAATTTAAAAACGCCTTCATGATGGATTTGTTTCTTACAAACATGAAGATTTTCACTTCACAAGATGTTAACTGTTGGACTGGAGTGGTTTGGATTACTTGTGGATTATTGTGATGTTTTTATCAGCTGTTTGGACTCTCATTCTGACGGCACCCATTCACTACAGAATATTAATTGGTGAGCAAGTGATGTAATGCTACATTCAAAATCTGTTCCAATGATCAAAACAAACATATCTACATCTTGGGTGGCCTGAGGATGAGTCGTCACCCTAAAATCTCATTATCGCAAGGCATCCAGACAGTTTACTTTGAGGTTTTCTGCAATTCTCATTACTTTTATTTCTTTTTAGATTCTTATACTGTAAAACAATGATTTTTTTTAATTTACTATAGTATAAGTTCATTATTACATATAATTTAAATAATATATTATTGTTTTTGTATTAAAGTAATGAAAATGAGAATACCTTATGGTAATGAGAATTATAGAAAAAAAATGTGCTAAATTGTCTTAAAATGTGTGATAACGCAAAAAACTATATAATTTCTTCATCAATATTTTCATTCTAGCTATTTCTTCACGCAAAATGTTTCAGAAACATTCATCTTAGAAATCCTTACCATCTTCGTCAAGAAAGAGTTTGTTAAAACGAAGACCGCTGGGTTCCTTCCCTATAAAGCGGTGCACGTATTCAGTGCCATGATCGTGAACAGCAACTGCGTACTTTAATGGCTTCACACACGACTGCAGACAAAATGGAACTTTCGTGTCACCCGCAGTGTATCTGTAATACGCAAAATGTCAAGCTCAGCATAAATGTTTGATAAATTAAATTATGTTCACCAGAAAATATAAAAAAATCAAGCAAAATCAAAACAATGTAGCAATTGTATTAAAGACAAATCTCACCGTTGGCCATCTACAGTGCACAGGGCAACGGCCCAGAGATTAGGGCTAAATTTCGCTAGCTGAGGAATGTAATCTGCCACCTAATACAATAAAAACGTGACAAAACACAATGTAAAACAATCTGTAATCAAATATATAATATCATCAGAAATTCACATTGCGTTGGATTATAAGCGTACCTGGCCACACGACAGTGATTTAGCACTCTCATAAATTTGATCGACGTGAGAGGTAAATGACTGAAAGTCGGGAATGACGAACTTTTTCCGGAAAGCCTGCGTTAGCAACACGATATTGCTTTGCACACACCTGAAGAAAGAGAAAAGTGAAGATCATGATTTATTTTCATTATCATCAGTATATTCATGAAAATTCAAACTGACATTAAAACAAACGTTAAAAAAACATTTTAGGAAGATAAACAGAAACAGAAGATAAAACAGAATTATTTGACTGTGATAAACTACTTCTTCATGATTTCCTATTATATTTTTGCTTTCAAGATTAAATACTGAATGCAAAATTGTCATAACTACAATACATCCACAGATCATTCTACAAAATGGTTCAGCAAAAATTAACAATAAAAATACAAAAAAAAAAATCTAACTTACAGTATTGGAGCTGTACGAGGCAGTATTATCTTAGTATCATTGATATACAGTACTATTACAGTTTTTGTTAATATTTTGAATTAGATTTGATTTGTACATTTTCTATTTTAACTTTGTTTTGTTGTCACCAAGTTTGAATAATTTTATTTTTTTAAAATAAAAATTTACTTTTGTCATTTTTTTTTATTTGTAGTTGATGTAGTTTTAGTTGTTTTAGTATTTCAACTCAAAACGAAAAATTTTTTAGTCAACTCAAATGTTTTTGTTTTATGGGTTTTATGGTTTTACAAGCACTAATAATAAACCTGGTATAATGTTATGTTCAGGCCTTGAGCCATTTTTATGTATTTTCTGAGCGAAACTAAATAATTCATATGCTGCAGGACTTTTAACAAATCTGTGACCCCTGATTTAATGTGTCCTTGGAAAATGGCTGATATATGAAACCTCATGCTTTAGTAACAGCTATGGGATTTTGCCATCTGAATGTTACACTGCAACTTCAGTTTGAACGCTAAATGTGACCCTGGACAACAAAACCAGTCTTAAGTGTAAATTTTTCAAAATTTACATTTATACATCACCTGAAAGCTGAATAAATAAACTTTCCATTGATGTATGGTTTGTTAGGATAGGACAATATTAGGTCGAGATACAACTATTTGAAAATCTGGAATCTGAGGGAGCAAAAATAATCAAAACATTGAGAAAATCGCCTTTAAAGTTGTCCAAATGAAGTCCTTAGCAATGCATATTACCAATCAAAAATTAAGTTTTGATATATTTATGGTAGGAAATTTACAAAATATATTCATGGAACATGATCTTTACTTAATATCCTAATGATTTTTGGCATAAAAGAAAAATCTATAATTTTGACATATACAATATATTGTTGGCTATTGCTACAAATATACCCCAGCGACTTAAGACTGGTTTTGTGGTCCAGGGTCATAAATATGTTAAATGGACACTACAGTCAATATATTCTTATTAAACTAAAAACTGTAAGTCGGTTTTCATTTCGATCTTTAAGAAACAGGGTTAAGTTTAATATAGCCCATATATTTACTTTTTGAAGAGATGTCGATCCAGAGCGCCATCTGATGTGGTCTTCAAGGTGACCTTTAACATCTCCATACACTCCTTAAGACGAGGGTCTCCAGTACGCAGTCCTGTGGCTTTCAGCGCCTGAAAAGCAACAACATTTAGCCTAAATTTACAACAAATCTTGTGTTTTGTTTAAAACCCAATGAACTCACACAACTTAGACACAACTATCTGGTCTATAAACCAAGATATGTGCTATAAGAGATATGGTAGCAATGGCCTTGTTCTCCTTGGCCAGCTGGGGTGTGGTTTTACCGTGGTAAATTTGTGAGCTGGAATTTTCTCCTGACCTTCTGCAATGGTGTAAAACAGCAGATCTTCCAGGCTGGGCAAAATGCCTGCCTTCCTTCTCCTGTGACGTGAATAGATACACAGAGAATCCAGTAAGCAGACAGAAAACAAAAATAGATAATTTATTCAAGGAAAAGTGTTTATCAGCAGCAGGAGAGGTCGTACTGAGATTTCATGTCATTTTAATTTCAGAATTAATCTCATTATGCCAGTCAGTATGTTTCACAATGGATAACAAAGATTTTTTTTTTTTATATATATATAAAACCAATTTCATTTGTCAAAAAATCATTGTAATTTTCAAAAAGCATTAGGCCCAAAATATATCCTAACAAGTCGTATTCTCAAAGTCTGCCACTAGGGGTTCCATTAGCATAAACGTTTTTTTTTTTCCTACCATCAGTTTTCTCTATTTTTAAACTGTCAAGGAAGATCAACAATTTGAGGAGAATCTTGCTACGCAAGTTGTTTAGAATTAGTTAAATTGATTATTAGCTAGCTATAACGCATATACATGCGCATATTTGTGCGTAACGTTTGGGAAAATTGAAGAAAAATGCATTTTACCATTGACTGGCATTGTGAGATCATCTGAAACCCATTTTTCCTCAGAAAAAGTTCGTCTGTTAGAAAAGGTGGTTATTTAACATAATTCAGGTTTGCAAAATTTAAATATGTTAAGCAGGATCTAATTAAAGCATTTGGGAATAAAACTCCCTACTGCAGATTCAGAAGTTGCATTCTGGGACAGCTACACAATCCCATATAAGGCCTCGATAAAGAGCACTGGTTTATATTCTGACCACAATCTATCCAGAAATGAACTGAAGAGTGTTTGGACGTTATTTAAGTTGGTGGAAAAATATTGTTCTTAAATCCATTGTGGGGTGAAACAATGGTCACCAAGGATTTGTGATGTCATTTCAGGATGATACATGCGGTTCTAGAACACGGAATGAGAATGTTCTTCAGCGGGGAAAACCAAGCAAAGCATTTTGTAAGAAATAATTGGAAGAAAGACACCAAATAAAAAGGAACCAGATACTTACACAACAAATGTAAAGTACGTAGACAAGCAAATGAGAGAGAGGAGGAAAAAAAAACAGAAATGAATGAGACATCAAGACATATAAAACACTGGCAAAATAAATAAACATATAGGCCTAGATAAATACACATGAATGCACATGTTCTAAAACAAAGTTCTAAAAACAAACTGACCTTGATTTAATTAAAATAGAGATAAAAGTAGGGATGCACCGATATGAACATTTTGGCCGATACCGGAATTCACAACGTTTTATTATAATAATGTTCTCATTAGAATGTTATATACACGACATTCCCAATCATAGTTATTAATGTTGTGCACTGCTGTTTGAGCTGCGTGCGCTGAGCTAAAGATGATCACCGGTAAACTGAAGCGCTCTTTTAACTTAACCAAACGCATTCTATACGAGATAAATCAGATATACATCAAATAAACACAATAATACAAAGTTCAATTGCACAAAAGGCTGCAAATGAACAGCGCGCATCTGAAGTGTCTCTGAAGGAAATAATGCATTATTTATCGGCTTTAAGATATCGGCCAAATTTTCTTATCGGGCCGATACCGATAACAGAAAAAATGAGCATTTATCGGCCGATACCGATATGGTGGCCGATATATCGTGCATCCCTAGATAAAAGGTTAGTTAATGACAGACCCACAAAATGAAAATCAAATTATTACAAAAAAATATTACTACTAATTATTAATAGCCTTTGGAAACGACACAGAGGGGAAAAAAAATAATGATCTCAAAACATTCAAATTTTGGTTGATAAATTGGCTTTGGCGATTTCAGTCTATAGTCCAGACTAGTACTGGGGAAAGTTACTTTTAAAAGTAATGCATTACAATATTGTGTTACAATACTCCATAAAAAAGTAGCTAATTGCATTACTTAGTTACTTTTATTGGAAAGTAATGCATTACATTACTTTTGTGTTACTTTTTGTCACCTGGGCTGGGCTTGCTTATTTGTTTTTAATACAAAAACAAAACAAAGGTTATATTTGGCAACTATAAAGTCCTTTTCACATGAAAAGTGAAATTAATAAGTCTCAGCCTTAAGGAAGTGCCTCTGCACCTCCGTCCCAGTTTCTCTCAACATGTGGACAGGAGCTGTTAAAGTAATTCGTGTTACTTATTTGAAAAAGTCACTTAGCTATTTTGTTGTAAATTTAAAAGTAATGTGTTACTTTAATAGTTACTTGGAAAAAAAGTAATCTGATTACGTAACTTGTGATGTGTTACCCCCAACACTCCAGACTATTGATAAAATGCTATCAGACACACACTATTGTGTACAAACATAGCCAGCGCTCTGAGGCAGGCTGTCTGACCTGGCAAGGCATTAAACTAGGACACGTAACCCCTCCCATCCCAAACTGACAGCGAGTTAAGCCTTCACTTCCTAGCAAGGTCTCAGTTCTGATCCTCGCTAATGCACCGCACGTATGAAACGTACTTTCTGACGCCGCTATTTTTACACACAAACACACTGGAAATAATCCACTTGATGACACGGCTAAATAAAAACACTTTATTTGTTTTAGTGATGGGATGAGTTATATGAGATGAGAAAAGTTGCTAAAAAAACAGGATTAGCTTGATTAGCATCCCCACTGGGTTGCTTCTAAAATGTATAGGCTAAACACTTTCAGTAAATTTTATACTTTTATATAAGTCACCATTTCTCGTGACATAACTTCTATTTCTTATACAATGTTTGAAAACAGTAAATTATTGTACTTAAAAAAAGCTAAAGCTATTGTTTTTGTCACCATCCTTAAGCCGCATTATCAACATCTAACTTACATTTCAACATATGAGGTAAATTTCACATCAAGGCTGAAATCCAAAGTTTTTAGTTCATAAGAAACCAATAAATAAATAAATATCAGTCTCTGTGCTGAAAAAAAAATCACTTTTTATAAACAGTCTCAAGTACAATTGCTAGATTCTCAATAAAAAAGTCCTGTGGTGTTACCATTGTATTGAATGGTACAGTGAATATTTAAAAAAGAGTGTGTTTGTGTGAAAGCAAAAGTAAAAAAAAAAGAAAGAAACAGTCAAAGTAGGGAAATAAAATAACTGAAAATGCCTCCAGAAGAATTGCAAACCATGTCTAAACGGGATCACGATGCCGGCTCAACATCATGATGTCTGTCAGCCATCGGTGATGGATGATGGCATCGTCTATCAGCCAAACCCTAACGATTACAATAATTATATTAGCACCCACACCAACCAACGATAATGTTTTGTTTATTATAATCGCGCACTGCAAATTTGATGTCTGCCACTTTACATGCGCAAGTTGGGTGGATTCTGATTGGCTGTCAAGTTTTTATTGTTCATCAACTAGAAAGAATCCTTCTGAAAGTTATTCTAACGATATTGTTTCTCTGTGCCGTTATTGTGATGTTGACTTCTGTATTCCCATAAAATTACAATGATTATTAAAACTAGTTTTAGTTATCATTACAGTTTGTCATTGGTGTAAATGTTCCTTCAGAAGATTATTTTTTTACTCTTTTTGTAAGCTAGGTTTGTAAGCAAGGTCTTTTCTACTATACAAGTGCAGTGGAATTAGTTTTTTGTTGGTTAACATGGCGAACTTGGACAAGCGAAATCTGCATGGGTAACATTTATGCATTAAGCGAAACTCCCAGTTTTGTAGATTCCATTTGAAATGGCTGGATTTCATTTGTGATTTTTTGCCGTGTAACAATAAATGTGATAATACTGGATAATATTTCTATATTTGAGTGAAATTTGGGATCCATAATTTATCGGTAATCAATGTAAAAAAACAAACAAAATAAAACCTCACCCATATAATGCTAGGCTTCTCTTATTGGTTGCTAGAGTGTTGCTATGTGGTTGCTAGAGCGTTCTGGAGATTAAATGTAAACAAAGGATTTTTTCGCCCTGTTTATCGTCCGCCAGGTGAAAAATCAAAGTCATAACACCAATTACCTCTGGTGCAAATATATCCGAATAACACCAGCTTTGTCTGGTGTAAAAACAAAGCCATCAAGAGGCCACATGCTGGGTAAACTCCCTCAGGACAGTGCACATGTGCCTCAGAAACCTGACACCTCAAATTACAGTGTAGAGAATAAGAACGAGGCCCTGCAAACAAGCCTGAGAGCATTATATGATGCTTATGAACACAATAAAAGTGAAAGCGTGATGTGTAGAGAAAGAGATTAAAAGAATATCGGGTTTGCAAATGAACTATTGGTGTGTTCAATCAATGAGCCAATCAGCTGCGCTAAAAAAAGAAGGGCTGACTTCACAAAATTAATTCAGCATCCGGCCGAATGTGAGGTTGCCATTGACAACCAGCTTATGTCAGTCTCTAATCATACTAAGGTGTGTTCCAAATCCTAGTGTGCTGACAACATAGGCAACATATTAGGCACCATATGTGTGATCCTGAAAAAACTGTTCTAAAAATAATCATGCTACCTTCTAAGACAATTAATTTGGCTTATTTTAATGTGGAATTGCCGACCGCAGAATGCACTGCAACAGCTCCGTGGAAAAATCCATACAAGATGATGGACGACATATATACAGTATAAAATACTAATACTTCATTACAGTACTTTTTAGTTATAAAAAAAGTTTAACCTATTTAAAACATAGCCTAATATTTTACTGAATTTTTACATATTCTTAGCTTAGCAACATGCTAACAGCAAATTTTTACTAAAATCAATTGTAAATATCTCCTGTGCTACTTTCTTAATTGCGTATTGCAATGTTAGCTTAGCAACATGCTTACAGCAAACTTTACTAAAATCAGTTGTAAATATCTCCTGTGCTACTCTCTTAATTGCGTATTACAATGTTAGCTTAGCAACATGCTAACAGCAATCTTTTCTAAAAATCAGTTGTAAATGTCTCCTGTGCTACTCTCTTAATTGTGTATTACACTGTTAGCTTAGCAACATGCTAACAGCAATCTTTTCTAAAATCAGTTGTAAATGTCTCCTGTGCTACTCTCTTAATTGCGTATTACAATGTTAGCTTAGCAACATGCTAACAGTAAACTTTACTAAAATCAATTATAAATCATATCTCCTGTGTGCTACTTCATTATTTGCGTATTATGTTAGCTTAGCAAAAAAAATGTATGTTAGCTTAGCAACACGCTAACATTAAACTCTCTTGAAATCAATTGCAAATCATATTTCATATATTTTTTGAGCATTAATGTTAGCTTAGTAAACTAAGCTAACTATTAAAATTCTGAAATCAGGTGTAAATCTTATCTCCTGTGTGCTACTTCCTTATTGCGTATTACAACGTTAGCTTAGCAACATGCTATTGTCAACGTCTGTTTTAATCATTTGCAAATATATCAATCAAATTTAATCAATTGCAATTGCGTATCTTCGGTGCTACTTCTATATTTGCGTATTATGATGTATGCTTAGCAACATGCTAACAGCAAACTCAAATCAATTGCAAATTGTATCTCCTGTGTCACTTGCTTTTTTGAGTATTAATGTTAGCCTAGCACCATGCTAATAGCAAACTCTCCTGAAATCAACTGCAAATCGTGCAAATTCTGTGAGCTATTTGCTAATTTCAGTATTAAGCTGTTAGCTTAGCAACACGCTACCAGCAAACTCCACTAAAATCAATTCTCCTGCATGTCTATTGTATGATAAATAGTTGTTGCCTATGTAGAGTGTTTCAAATTCATCACTCAGTCTTAGAAGGTGTTGTAAGTAGCAGACAGGGCAGCCCACTACATTTTGGCTCACTATAAAGAACTTCAACAATGACAACGTTTCCCTAGACGTAAACTTACAGATGTTACAATAAGCTGAGACTTGACCTTCACAAGTCACTGACAGACAGATGGAGAGAAAGGTCAATCTGTCTCTCCAAGGACAAACACTCACGCATACTGAATGAATGAAAGCAGTACATACTAAAATGACAGCACATGCTACTCTGACACATTCAGTGCACACTCAAAGGTCAACTAGAGAGCAGTAGATTTAGAGGAAACATTTTCAGAGGAAACCCCGGTTTCAACACTTCCGAGCTTTGAATGCCGTCGTTACAGGAAGAGGAAGTGGCTGATCTGGCCGTGCAGAAGCTAACATGCTTTAAAACTCAATAACCTCGTCTGAACCTGAATGATTTACCATGTTCCAACGAGATTCTGAGCCTGACACAGATTGAGTGATTTCAAATTGATTAGTGTTTTTTTACAGTACATATAAATCAAGGATGACTACTGATATTACATTATGTGTGTGTGTGTGTGTGTGTATAATAATTTGAAATAAATAATACATTTTTATAAAAATGTTACAATTTAAAATATTTAAAATATTAAAATATCATAATTATAATATTCTAATATAATAATAATAATAATGAATGATAACAAAATAGGATGAAAAGCATTGCTTGAAGTAAACATATTTACAATTTGCCAGGCAGCTTGGTTTTAGAATTGGACAAGGATTGTCATCATCAGCTGATTTTATTCAGTCTACCAATAATTTATGCAAATAAAGACTATTTTACAAATAGAATCATAAATAAATGATGATCAATTCTGATTCTTGACATTTGGTCTCCTCTCAAATATTTTGGTAAAATATATCTGAAAGATTCTAGAACATTCCACACGTCCACTACTCTAATTCATAACGAGAAATGCATTGTTTCAATTAAAAAGTGCTTCAAATAGATCAAAAACCACCCTAAAAGTCCAACCCTTCCGATTATTCACAGAGGACATCAGAGAGGCCCCTGGGAATTTGGCCCCTATTCATTGTACAAGCTCCTTCTCTTTGTGCACTCTGTCCTAAACATCTTGACAACCTTATAGTGAATCTACAAGATCTAAAGCTCTAAATATACAACAAAAATCCTTCACATCTATCATCGTGAACTAGGCCTGGGAATCATTTGCAGGGAATGCGGGGCCCCCATAAGAATGAATGAATGAATGCATGCATGAATGGACAAAATCCATCCAATTTTAAAGTGAACCCAAACCTGATATCAATAATTGATTGGTTCTATCAACCCCTCGCATTGGCCACTGAGGTTTAGACCTGGTTTTCAGCTCTACTCACTTCTCGTTGGCCGCATCTGTCTGCGTACACAGGGATCGTCTATATGAAGAAGCGCATCCTCCGGCGGCTGCTGTATTATCTGTAACGTTACTAGTTTTCCAAAGGCGCCTTAGATTGGGTTTGCAAAACTCCTTTAACGCCCTCGAGAACCTAAACTGTAACATTTCAAACCGGACAGGCTAAACAGAATGACTTCCGACAATAATGCTGGTAATATTACACTGTAGGTTATGAGAATATCCGCTTTTTAGACAGTCGTGCCGGTTTCTTCCCTCGTCTCTCGGTGTGTAATGTGTATTCACGCGACAGAATCGAATCCGCCCACTGGAGCGCCGCTCGCACTCTATTGGACGCCGTGACGTCTCAGCGAACGGTGATTGGCTCAGGCGTGCGTCAATCAGGATTATGACGCACATCACTTCCCTGTGCTTGGTAAAGAGGCTGGCTGGGTTCTGCGTGCTGTGCAGTATACACTACATACTGTGTGTGAGAAAATAATAACTACAGTATGTAACAATTAACATATCTCGCGGATGATGTCACTACGTCACGTATTATTCAAACATTTGTAATAGTAATTTGTGTAAATACAAAAAATTATAAATACAAATCATATTTTATTACATAAAATTAATATAATTTATAATTATTATATGAATTGATTCAATAACAAAACTTAATAGTATACTATTATTATTTAATTGTTAAAACAAACATGAACTATTAATAAATTATGTCTAGCCTAATAAAATAGAATTTGAATATTTGTAATCCACAATTTTTAATTTGGTCAGATGTGTCAACTATATGTGTGTAATACACATAATTGCTAAATATCTATTATATGTTTATAAATAACAATTAAATGTGTAATATTTAATAGTGAACTTGATTTATTTGTAATCCAATTTTTGCATACAGTCTGCTCTGAAGTCAAGATTACAATAATGCTTTATAATCATAACATTTTTAACAATAATTAATTCTAATATTATTATTTCTTATAATAAACATTAATTATAAAACTCATGTATAATATAATATAGGCTAATAGGCTAATATAATATAAAAAATATAATATAATATATATAAAACATTTTTTTGTAATTTATAATCCATTTTTGCCGTCTTAGAAGATATGTGAAAGTGACGTGACATGTGACGTGACATGTGGCTAAGTATGGTGACACATACTTGGAATTAGTGCTCTGCATTTAACCCCATCCAAAGTGCACACACACAGCAGTGAACACACACACCAGCAGCCATTTTTGCTGCGGCGCCCGGGGAGCAGTTGGGGGTTCGGTGCCTTGCTCAAGGGCACCTCAATCATGGTACTGAAGGTGGAAGAGAGCGCTGTACATTCACTCCCCCCACCTACAATCCCTGCCGGTACGAGACTTGAACCTGCAACCTTTGGGTTACGAGTCTGACTCTCTAACCATTAGGCCACGACTTCCCCATGTGTGTGTTTATATGGATGAATTAATATTATTCATTAATTTATATTAATTATTGTTAACTAATAATTAAATATTGTCACGGTGTGGCACATGAAGTAAAAGAATAAGGAGAAACAGTCTTTAATAATCCACATAGAGGTAATCCATCACAGGAGGGTAGCAAACACACGTATCCATAGACGAGACCGGACAAAGAAACACTGAACAGAATGCAACTTATATGGGGAACGTAAATGAGGATAATGATTAGACACACCTGAACTTAATGACACAATCAACAGGAGACAGAAACTAGGTAACACAGAGCACGTGGGGAATGAAAAACACAACAAACAGTCCATAACTGTGACAAATATATTCATTAATATTAATAAATAAAATAAAATGTATGAATATTTATTTTTGCAGTCTGAACAAATGAGTCAAGAAGATAGTAAAAGTAATATATGGATAAACAGCCTAAATATAAACATTAAATTATAATATTAATTCAATAATACATTTGACTAATTAATACATTTGATCAGTTCATTGACATTATTATTATTATTATCTTCTTGATCCATTTGTATGGGATTACAAACACAATTATAATATATAATTATATTATATAATATTACTAATATTATAAAATGTATAATATTTATTATAAGATTAGTAAGCCGTGTACAATTTATATTGTACAGTAAACAGTAGGCCTATGCTAGTGTTATGAACACAGCAAGTGATGTTAAAAATCACCGTTGGGTCATTTATCACTGAAAATACTACATCAAGCCGAACACATTGCATTATTTGCACACAGTGTGCTCTGTTTTGCATACTGACCACAGTATACATGACAGACGTGCAGAAGAGAAGTATGGTAGTATGTTATTTTGAACACATTCATCTAATTCTCTCCCATATGGCATTTATATATATAGGCTACATAAATAATATATGACCGAAAAATGGTGGCGTTCAGAAATAATAGTACGCTAATAGACGCGCTGACTTCAAACGCGGGGAGTTTTAGCCATTAGCTGATTATAACTGTTGGTCAGAGAGAGACGTTTGCACATTTGCAATACAATATTATGCAAAATTACAGCCGTGTTGCCCGTTCACAGTGTGATATTGACTGCGAAGGAGCCTGTGGATTCAGTCTGTAGGCTTCTCACCGGATGACTGACCTGCTATTATGAACATTATAATAGCTAATGCAAACACTGAATGCCTCAGCGTGGTCTAAAACTGTAGGGCTGGACGTCAGACAAAAGAGGAGTTATTATTGATGTGGATTTGAAACCCTTGTGATATAGTAATATAATTGATATAGGCTAATTCACATTTAAAGTGAGTCCTAACTGTGTTTTTTTTTTATTTTTTTGCAAATCTGTCAAATGATGAATTATGTCAAATGATTAATGGTTTGTTCTTTTCTTTTCTTTCACAAGCTTACAATATACATATTAGCATATAATACATTATTAGCATCTTTCTCTTTTAGTAAAGCGTACTAATATCTTGGGCTATCTTGCCACCTTGTGGGCAATAAAGAAAGTGACAGAATTTGACTTTTTGTATTATTTTTATTTATTTATTTTTTTGTAACCAGAAAATGAACAATACGTGTTCCAAAGGCTATAATCGATAATTATGTAGGATTAAGTTTCCAATTTCCAACATTAATAAACATATTTAAATATTAAATAATAAATGAAAATAATTACTAAATAATTATTACAAAAATATGATTATAATTGACACATTTACCTATTAGTTAAATTTTAATTTATTTTAATTAACAGTATTTTAATATTTTAGAACACATTTAATACAATATTAAAATCAAAATACATAAATTTTTTAATAAAATATTTATAAATATTTTGT